AGATGCAAAAATACTCAACAAAATATTAGCAAACCGAATTCAAAAATACATCAAAAGGATAAACACCATGACCAAGTGGGATTCATCCCAGGGATGCAAGGATGGTACAACATTTGAAAATCCATCAACACCATCCACCACATAAACAAAAAGAAGGACAAAAACCACATGATCATCTCCATAGATGCTGAAAAAGCATTTGACAAAATTCAACATCCATTCATGATAAAAACTCTCAACAAAATGGGTATAGAGGGCAAGTACCTCAACATAATAAAGGCCATATATGATAAACCCACAGCCAACATCATACTGAACAGCAAGAAGCTGAAAGCTTTTCCTCTGAGATCGGGAACAAGACAGGGATGCCCACTCTCCTCACTGTTATTCAACATAGTACTGGAGGTCCTAGCCATGGCAATTAGACAAAACAAAGAAATACAATGAATCCAGATTGGTAAAGAAGAAGTTAATCTGTGACTATTTGCAGTTAACATGATATTGTACATAAAAAAACCCTAAAGACTCCACTCCAAAACTACTAGAACTAATATCGGAATACAGCAAAGTTGCAGGATACAAAAGTTGCAGAAATCTGTGGCTTTCCTGTACACTAACAATGAACTAATAGAGAAATCACGAAAACAATTCCATTCACAATTGCATCAAAAAGAATAAAACACTTAGGAATAAACCTAACCAAGGAAGTTAAAGACCTATGCCCTGAAAATTATAAAACACTCTTAAGAGAAATTAAAGAGTACACTAACAAATAGAAACTCATCCCATGCTCTTGGCTAGGAAGAATTAATGTTGTCAAAATGGCCATCCTGCCCAAAGCAATATACAGATTTGATGCAATTCCTATCAAATTACCAACAACATTCTTCAACGAACTAGAATAGTTCAAAAATTCATATGGCAATACCAAAGCCCCCAAATAGCCAATGCAATCCTGAGAAAGAAGAATAAAGTGGGGGGGGGATCTCACTCCCCAACTTCAAGCTCTACTACAAAGCCACAGTAATCAAGACAATTTGGTACTGGCACAAGAACAGACCCACAGACCAGTGGAACAGAATAGAGTGTCCAAACATTAACCCGAACATATATGGTCAATTAATATACGCTAAAGGAGCCATGGACTTACAACGGGGAAATGACAGTCTGTTCAACAGATGGTGCTGGCAAAACTGGACAGCTACATGTATGGAACTGGATCACTATTTAATCCCATACACAAAAGTTAAATTTGAAATGGATCAAAGACCTAATGTAAGTCATGAAACCATAAAACTCTTACAAAAAAACAGAGGCAAAAATCTCTTGGACATACACATGAGCGACTTCTTCATGAACACATCTCCCCAGGCAAGGGAAACAAAAGCAAAAATGAACAAGTGGGACTATATCAAGATGAAAAGCTTCTGTACAGCAAAGGACACTATCAATAGAACAAAAAGGTGGTACCCTACAGTATGGGAGAATATATTCATAAATGACAGAGCTGATAAAGGGCTGACATCCAAAATATATAAAGAGCTCATGCACCTCAACAAACAAAAGCAAATAATCCAATTAAAAATGGGCAGAGGAGCTGAAGACACTTCTCCATAGAAGAAATTCAGATGGCCAACAGACACATGAAAAGATGCTCCACATCGCTAGTCATCAGAGAAATGCAAATTAAAACCACAATGAGATACCACCTCACACCAGTAAGGATGGCCAGCATCGAAAAGACTAAGAACAAGAAATGCTGGCGAGGATGCGGAGAAAGGGGAACCCTCCTGTACTGCTGGTGGGAATGTAAGCCAGTTCAACCATTGTGGAAAGCAATATGGAGGTTTCTCAAAAAACTAAATGTAGAAATACCATTTGACCCGAAAATCCCACTCCTTGGAATTTACCCAAAGAATAGAACTTCTCAGATTCAAAAAGACATATGAATCCCTATGTTTATCGCAGCACTTTTTACAATAGCCAAGATATGGAAGGAACCTAAATGTCCATCAGTACATGAATGGATAAAAAAGATGTGGTACATATACACAATTGAATACTATTCCACCATAAGAAAGAAACAAATCCCACCATTTGCTACAACATGGATGGAGCTGGAGGACATTATGTTCAGTGAAATAAGCCAGGCAGAGAAAGACAAATGCCAAATGATTTCCCTCATTTGTGGAGTATAAGAATGAAGCAAAACTGAAGGAACAAAATGGCAGCAGACTCAAAAGACTCCAAGAATGAACTAGTGGTTACCAAAGGGGAGGGGTGTGGGAGGGCGGGTAGGGAGGGAGGGAGAAGGGGCTTGAGGGGTATTATGTGTAGTACACATGGTGTGGGGAATCACAGGGAGAACAGTGTAGCACAGAAAAGGCACACAGTGGGTCTGTGGCATCTTGCTGCACTGATGGACAGTGGCTGCATTGGGATATGGGTGGGGGCTTGATAATATGGGTAAATGTAGTAACCATAGTGTTTTTTCATAGGAAACCTTCACAAGAGTGTATATCAATTGTATCCTAATAAAAATTTTTTTTAAAAAAAGAAAACCCTAAAAAAAAAGGTTGTATATCGATACTTCAATAAAATATTGAAAATTAAAAAATAAAAGTTACCACTATCCTGATATCTAATAGCATAGATATTTTACTTATTTTTGTATGTAATAAAAATGGACTCATACAATATATACTCTTTTGTGCCTGGCTTTTTTCATCCAACGTTTATTTATGTGATTCGTCAATACTGGCTGCACTGTTCAATCTCATTGCTCTTCTATTACAAGAGCAATTTCTTTACCCATCCTGTTTATAGGTATTTGGATAATTTTAGTTTGAAGTATGGATAGCACTGCTATGAGCATTCCAATGTATACATATGCATGTCCACCTACCGAGGTAAGGAATTACTGAGTTACAGGATCTGCATATGTGCAATTTTAACGTATATCCCCATATAGTTTATAAAATTGATTGTACTGATACTCCCACCGGCAGTGTACAACAATTCCAATTGCTAAAATCCTTACCCACTCTTAGTATATTGTCTTTTTTAGTTATCCTATTATTTGTGTAGTGGTATTGCACTGTGCTTTTAAGTTGTAGTTCCCTGATAACTAATGGTGTTGAGCACCGTAACACCTTATTTGCTATTTGATATTAGATATCCCTTTTGTGAGATGCCTAGGTCTTCTGCCCAATTTTCTATTACATTGTCTGGTTTTTATACTTCTACATTTTTAACCATGTGAATATATTACTTATTTTTAAAGTAAATTTAAAAGTAATGTAATTAAAAATATAAATAAATTTTATAAAGTTCTAAGCTGCATATTCTCACCTTAGGAATTTACAGTATACTACTTTTTCAAAAAGCCCTGAAAAGTATTACACTTTTCAATGACACAGAATAGTTTGGAGAAATGCTGCTTCCATTCTTGTTTAATTTTTATTTCTCACGGAATTAATAATTGCCTCCTTTTTTTCAATTTCTTTTTAAGCTCTCTCACCAATTTTATCACAAATTTCACTAGATGTATCAAACACCTATCAACATAATTTCCCAAATACTCAAAATTAGACAATCTATAAATTCAATTATTTTAACTAAAGTCTTTCTTCTTGGAATCTGCGATCTTTCTGCTCTAGGGAAAACAGGCTGCTCTCTAATTTTGCCACTTTTCTTTTATCCTGGGGTTTCCCTTCACATTTTGTTTTCTGGATACCACGTCTTTCGGTTTCTTGACTTTTCCCATGCTTTATTGGAGCACATTCTCTAGTAGCTTTCCTTTTTTAAAAGGTAAATGTTTGCCTCCTGTAGATATGAAAATATTTTTTATTCTGCCCTTAACTTGATGGATAGTTTGACCGACTATAGAATTATAGGTTGGAAGTTACCGGCCTTCAGAACTTTGAAGATATTTCACCTCACTGTTTTAGCATTAAAGTGTTATTGTTGAGAAACCTAATGCCATTCTAATTCCCATCCCTTTATTCTTATTTCTTCCTCTGAAAACTTTTAGAATTTGCTCTTTATTCCTAAGGTTCTAACCTTTTTAATGATGTGCTCTAATATAGCTCTTTTTTCATTCACTGTAGGTACTTGGTGGGCCATTTTGATATGGAGATGCTGTCCTTTGGTCCTAGAAAAAATTCGTGAATTATTATTTTGATCATTCCTCCCTGTTTATTTTATGTTCTCTTTTTCTGGAATTCTTTGTTCATTGACTGGGTGAATGGATGAATGGGAAAAGTTTCTGAACACTTTTTCTAGCAAAAAGCTTATTGAGCAACAAAGCACAGAATATCAGACCATATCTTTAAAGCTAAGCGTTTTATTTTAAATAACCAAAATTTTAAAACACACTATTCCATTACAACTTCCCGTTATTGTAAACCATAACATTGTTACTCTGATTTCTGACAATACAAAAATAGGAAGCATTGGTTCTCCGTAAGCAAAAATCCCCCATTCGAGTCAGGCATTCCTTATCACTGTTTCTTAAAATTCACTGAATGGCTATTATGGGCTTGGTATTGTATATAATATTTGCACTCATAAAATAGTGGTCTATATATAAAGTGTTTAAGGTAAAAAGACGGAAAGATGTTTGCAATCTGTTTGGTCAGCATTAAACACTGATTGCATGCCTCAGATCTGTAAGAAAGAAATTCTTGCAGTCTTACCTGGAATCAGAGGGATGGACTCTCTGAAGGTTATTTTTCCATCTGTATTTTCCAATATATAATTATGGGCGTAAGAGATACGAGGGAGAAAAGAAGGTGCCTAGCAGAGAAGCACGTATCATGAACTTAACACCTGAACTGTCAGGGTCTATCATCCACCCCTGCCTCCTTAAGTAGCCGGAAGTGAGAGAAGACCGGAGATACCGGTAGGCCAAATTCACTCCCTATCAGACGAGCTGCCGTGGCGCCATGGGCAGTCAGCACCACGCTCCCCAGCAAAAGCACTTCCCGCGCAGGCGCCGAGTGGGGAACTGAGCGCCAGCTGCGACCCAGCCGATCCCGGGCTTCGGTGACTCCCTAGATGCGCGGCCCTGAGGAGATTCCTCGTGGGTGTGAGGGTCCGCTGACCAACCGGACAGCGGACAACGGGCAGCTGAGAGGAACTTTCCCAGAGAGAAAACTTTTCCAAAGCAGTGCCCTTGTCTCCCTCCACCGCCCCCAAACCCCTGCCGGAGCCCCGCTGAAGTCCCACAGATCATGTGACTGCGCCAGGCGGCGGAGACCCCGAGCCTCAGGCCGAGACGGGAGCCAATCGGCACGGCCACTGGCCTGGGCCCCTCTCCCGCCCGGCCCCTCTCCCCGCCCCGGTGTCCGCGGTGACGTCGCCCGGTAAGTTTGGGAGGGAGGAGCTCGGGCGGCGAGTCTCGCCCGGCGGGACGCGCTTGGGAGGCTCAGGTCGGCGAGAGGAAGCTCCTCCTCGTCGCGGGGCACCGCCGCGAAGTGACCCCGGCCTCCAGAAACAGGGAGTCCTCTGCGGCTCCGGAAAAGCCGCGGCCGGCGTTGGCCGCGTGGGGAATGAGCGACCGCGTGACCTAGTGTCCGTCAGCGGGGAGGGCCTGGCGGCCTGGCTTGCTNGCGGAGCCGCGGGAGCCTGGCAGCGGCGGGCCACCCAGACCCAGCCGGCGGCTCGAGCCCGCGCCGCCCGCGACCATGAGCCGCGAGGCCATCTGCAGCGCCCTGCCCACCATTCCCTACCGAAAGCTCACCGACCTGCGCTACTTGAGCCGCGGTGCGTCGGGCACCGTGTCGTCGGCCCGCCATGCAGACTGGCGCGTTCGGGTGGCCGTGAAGCACCTGCACATCCACACCCCTGTGCTCGACAGGTAGGGCGCCCCGGCGGGGCCCCCGCGAAACCCCGAAGCCTGCATCCCCATCCCGCCAACACCATCCCGGAGCCAGCGCGCTCTAGAGCCCCAGCGGCGGTGACCCTCCGGGTCGCCCCACCCCTGTCACCTCTAGGCCCGGCGCTAGCAGGGTGGGGAGAACCGGCTTCTCGGGAGAAGGAGCAGTCATATGCCAACGTTCATTTCTTCTCTCCGCTGCCCTCTCCCCTTCTGTTGCTGGGCTTCCATTCTCCACACACCAAAAACCAGGATGTTTTGGGTTGGGTTTCTGTTGGTTTGGTTTTGTTCGTGGTTGCTTACATGTAATAATGAAAGTTTGGATACCAAACTCAGTTTAATTTGTCCTGTCACTATCACAAGGAAGCCTGTCCCCAAAGGAAATGTGTATGCTCACAATAAACTGAATCAACGCTTAAATGACAAAAAATTTTGAATGCCTCTCACATCCTGGAACAATTTTAGTGCCCTGTCCAGGTTTAAGAGAATGCTGGCATTATTTTCGGTTTTCAGAAAAACATTGCAACTATATACTAAAGACGGGTGACCAAATGAATGAGTCAGTGGGTCTAGGCACTAGTTTTGTGTATTCTCCTAACAATAGGGATTTAAATAGTCCCTGCATTCCGTTCGTAGTGGGTTCTTCATGATTGCAACATTCTCCTCTCCTCCCCCTATATCTAATGTCAAAATACATCGTGCCAGATGCCTGATTGGCCAGAGGCTGTTAGTATCCAATGTCAGATAAATTCCTAAGCTTCAGCCCTACCAATGTTATTGGACTTTTCATCTGCTTGTGGCTTTTCTTTGCTGTCTTGCTATCATGCTTATATGGGCTACATCTCACAGTAGATTTGGGACACCTCTAGAAATTATTCCCACTTTTATATACCATAATCCATGGCCAGTGATGAACAGGGTGTGGCGTGTTTATTTTACCAAGGGCCTTGAATTCTGTGTAGTAAGTGCCATGCAAGTGTTGTATGTGCATGTAGTCAACTTTGAAAGGTCATGGTTTGTTGGAGAGGGTATGTATAGTTGACAACCAACTCTGTAACTGTATGGAAATCTAGTACTGATGGACCCACTAGATACTCTAAAGCAAATTGATTCCCCCATTTTGGACGCTGCTTCTCAAGATTTTAACTTATCTAAGTTTTGCGCCATGTGGGGACAAGGGAATGAACTCTTTCCATACTCTAACCAATTTGAAAGTCTAAAATTCTTCACTAAATTGGGTAGGACATTAATTTTGTCATCAAACAGTCATAAGGACCAGTGAAACTCTGGCATTACTGCATCACATTCTTTCTCCAACTTATTACCTAAGATGTTAACATTAGCAGTATTTTTGTTAATCTGAGCATAGGGCTGGGCTATGCAGTTGACTCATAGGGTGTCTATTTCCTCACTTTTAAAGTGGGGATAATAAATACATGTACTTCTTAGGCTCTGGTGCGGATAATGTCTGCATTGTTATTTGAGATCACCTGAAAGAAAAATAAGTTTATGTGCTGTTGACATGTTCTTATTTTAGTGATTGGTGAGTCCTTTTCCATAACCTCTCTTTGCCCCAGTGAGTAGACCTTCCCCAACAGTCTCCCAATTCCTTATGAGTAGATGAGTCTGATTGGCTGTTGAAACACCCAGGGCAGATGACATAACTGTTATGTAACTGAAATTTTGATGTGGGTAATTTGAGTGATATGCCTATAGAAGCTGTATTTTACGTTTTTATTTTTTAAAATATAAAAATCTATTTTCATACTGTTTTGGTTTCCTTAATCTTCCAAAAATCTGACCTAAAGACTTTCCTTCTTACCTGATGGAGCAGTAGAGTGGGAAGAACAGGCTTGAGTCCCACTGTTGAAGTTCAAATCTGACTCCAACCTTGCACCTATTGTTGCCATTAGAACCAACCATTAGAAAAGTACTCATTTGTCTGAGCCTCATAGTTGGGGTATTAAGTGGGTGAAGGACAGGGAGGAGAGAAGCTTTTTACTTGATGCCCTCTTGTTACTCTTGAATTTTAAAACATATATTTCCTATTCAAAGCATAAATTATTAAGATTTTTTTCTTTATTTTGCTTTTTGTTTTAAAAGCAGGCCTCATAGTCTGGTCTGAAATGTCTTTTGCTTTTCTTATTTCAACAGCCATTCATCCAGAGCTTGGGTGGTTTAAGTGCCAACTAATTATCACCACTTACCTAATGAGCTTCTGGAGACATTTCTATGTCTGTTATTGATGCTACTAACACAAATTCATCAACGGTAAAAGCTGATGACATCTCCAGTTTCCTTCCTTTTTTTTTTTTTTTAATCCCTCTTAGTCACCACAGCCTGAGCATTTTATTCAGCTAGTGTTTTTCTTCCCATTTCTACTACAAGCTTTATAGTTTAAGTCTCTCATTGCTTCTCACCTTATCTAGTATTATAATCTTCTAACACCTGACTTTCAAACTCTACCTCTTTGGGCTGATCTTACATCCTGCTACCAAGTTAATCATCCTAACTAAAAGTTTGTTTTTCTAATGTCATTTCTCTGCTCAAAATTGTGCAATCACAGGTTAGTGACTATCAAAAGTGTGAACATCTTTCTTGGCTTAAGGCTCTGATATAAGGCCATAGTCTACCCTATTCATCTTTACTTCTTTTATATACTCTATTAGATATCCTGATTCATATTAAATAATTGCCATTTTCCAAAAATAGACTTCACTTTAACCTCCTAGAATTCATTTGATTCATATCTGTCAGACATCTACTATGTAACAGGCACTGTTCCAGGTCCTAGAATAAACAAAAGAAGAAAGGCAAAGTCCCTCCTTTTTGGGAGGCCACATCCATTGTTGATGCCCTCTTTTCAATGGTTGAAATTCTACCATCCATAAATTAAAGTACAGTTGAAATCCCTCTCTAAAGACTGTAGCAACTCTTTTGGCCCAAAGTTTATTCTCTTTTCTGAGCTCCCCATAGTTCTCTATTTATTTATTTGCTTGCTTGCTTATTTATTTGTTTTTGGTGGCACTTACCACATTCTGCCTTATATTTTAAGTATTTTTTCCATTGCTTTCCTCATTTTTTAACTTTTGAAGAATAATTGACAAGTATGATTACATGTATTTAAAGTGTGCAGCATGATGATTTGAATACCTATACATTGTGGAATGATTATTACCAAGATCAAGATAATTAACACATCCAAAGAAGGCATATAAATGGCCAATAGTATATGGAAAGGTGCTCAGCATCACTGATCATCAGGGAAATGCAAATCAAAATCACAATGAGTATTTATTTTAAAAGATTTCTGGGCAGCTTGAGGGCACAGACATTTTTTTCTTTATATTATCCATAATGCTGAACATAGTTCTTTATTCATAATAAAAGTTCAATATTTATTTGTTTTATCAATGAATAAGCAAGTGAAGCTGGGATCAGAATTGTTCCAGGGATTCATAAGCATTTACTCTTACCAGTGTTCTTTTCCTGAGTTCTAATGTATAATCTCTAAGCATTTTTCACCCTTGTGCAACTATTATCATCTAGTTATTTCAATCTACAGTATTTAAATTTTTTAATATTCCAGATATTTGGAAAACTTTTACATGGTATACAACCATAAAATTTAATGTAATCAAATCTGATCATTTAATACAACATCTAAGATGTTAACATTAGCAGTATTTTTGTTAATCTGAGCATAGGGCTGGGCTATGCAGTTGACTCATAGGGTGTCTATTTCCTCACTTTTAAAGTGGGGATAATAAATACATGTACTTCTTAGGCTCTGGTGCGGATAATGTCTGCATTGTTATTTGAGATCACCTGAAAGAAAAATAAGTTTATGTGCTGTTGACATGTTCTTATTTTAGTGATTGGTGAGTCCTTTTCCATAACCTCTCTTTGCCCCAGTGAGTAGACCTTCCCCAACAGTCTCCCAATTCCTTATGAGTAGATGAGTCTGATTGGCTGTTGAAACACCCAGGGCAGATGACATAACTGTTATGTAACTGAAATTTTGATGTGGGTAATTTGAGTGATATGCCTATAGAAGCTGTATTTTACGTTTTTATTTTTTAAAATATAAAAATCTATTTTCATACTGTTTTGGTTTCCTTAATCTTCCAAAAATCTGACCTAAAGACTTTCCTTCTTACCTGATGGAGCAGTAGAGTGGGAAGAACAGGCTTGAGTCCCACTGTTGAAGTTCAAATCTGACTCCAACCTTGCACCTATTGTTGCCATTAGAACCAACCATTAGAAAAGTACTCATTTGTCTGAGCCTCATAGTTGGGGTATTAAGTGGGTGAAGGACAGGGAGGAGAGAAGCTTTTTACTTGATGCCCTCTTGTTACTCTTGAATTTTAAAACATATATTTCCTATTCAAAGCATAAATTATTAAGATTTTTTTCTTTATTTTGCTTTTTGTTTTAAAAGCAGGCCTCATAGTCTGGTCTGAAATGTCTTTTGCTTTTCTTATTTCAACAGCCATTCATCCAGAGCTTGGGTGGTTTAAGTGCCAACTAATTATCACCACTTACCTAATGAGCTTCTGGAGACATTTCTATGTCTGTTATTGATGCTACTAACACAAATTCATCAACGGTAAAAGCTGATGACATCTCCAGTTTCCTTCCTTTTTTTTTTTTTAATCCCTCTTAGTCACCACAGCCTGAGCATTTTATTCAGCTAGTGTTTTTCTTCCCATTTCTACTACAAGCTTTATAGTTTAAGTCTCTCATTGCTTCTCACCTTATCTAGTATTATAATCTTCTAACACCTGACTTTCAAACTCTACCTCTTTGGGCTGATCTTACATCCTGCTACCAAGTTAATCATCCTAACTAAAAGTTTGTTTTTCTAATGTCATTTCTCTGCTCAAAATTGTGCAATCACAGGTTAGTGACTATCAAAAGTGTGAACATCTTTCTTGGCTTAAGGCTCTGATATAAGGCCATAGTCTACCCTATTCATCTTTACTTCTTTTATATACTCTATTAGATATCCTGATTCATATTAAATAATTGCCATTTTCCAAAAATAGACTTCACTTGAACCTCCTAGAATTCATTTGATTCATATCTGTCAGACATCTACTATGTAACAGGCACTGTTCCAGGTCCTAGAATAAACAAAAGAAGAAAGGCAAAGTCCCTCCTTTTTGGGAGGCCACATCCATTGTTGATGCCCTCTTTTCAATGGTTGAAATTCTACCATCCATAAATTAAAGTACAGTTGAAATCCCTCTCTAAAGACTGTAGCAACTCTTTTGGCCCAAAGTTTATTCTCTTTTCTGAGCTCCCCATAGTTCTCTATTTATTTATTTGCTTGCTTGCTTATTTATTTGTTTTTGGTGGCACTTACCACATTCTGCCTTATATTTTAAGTATTTTTTCCATTGCTTTCCTCATTTTTTAACTTTTGAAGAATAATTGACAAGTATGATTACATGTATTTAAAGTGTGCAGCATGATGATTTGAATACCTATACATTGTGGAATGATTATTACCAAGATCAAGATAATTAACACATCCAAAGAAGGCATATAAATGGCCAATAGTATATGGAAAGGTGCTCAGCATCACTGATCATCAGGGAAATGCAAATCAAAATCACAATGAGTATTTATTTTAAAAGATTTCTGGGCAGCTTGAGGGCACAGACATTTTTTTCTTTATATTATCCATAATGCTGAACATAGTTCTTTATTCATAATAAAAGTTCAATATTTATTTGTTTTATCAATGAATAAGCAAGTGAAGCTGGGATCAGAATTGTTCCAGGGATTCATAAGCATTTACTCTTACCAGTGTTCTTTTCCTGAGTTCTAATGTATAATCTCTAAGCATTTTTCACCCTTGTGCAACTATTATCATCTAGTTATTTCAATCTACAGTATTTAAATTTTTTAATATTCCAGATATTTGGAAAACTTTTACATGGTATACAACCATAAAATTTAATGTAATCAAATCTGATCATTTAATACAACATAAACTTAATTTGTTTAAAGCACCAATCATTCTAATGTAAATAGACTTTATAAACTTACTCAAACATTGTGTTATTTCCTTTTCCTAGGAAAAGTGCAATAATAATAGCCTGTGTATAGCACTTTTTTCTGTCAGGGGCTCATCAAAGTTATTTTGGTCTTTCAGAAGACCTGTGGAATATGTAGGGTAGGTATTATCCTTACTTTCAAAATGGAGAAACGAAGGGAAAGAGAAGTTGCATAGTTTACAGAAGGTCCGACGCTCATTAATGAAAAAAATCCAGGCTTGATTAGTATTATAGTCATAACTGTATATGTTTCATTACTTTGTATTTTCTTTCTTTAGTGAAAGACATGATGTCTTAAAAGAAGCTGAAATTTTACACAAAGCTAGATTTAGTTACATTCTTCCAATTTTGGGAATTTGCAATGAGCCTGAATTTTTGGGAATGGTTACTGAGTACATGTCAAATGGATCATTAAATGAACTCCTACATAGGGTAAGTATTATACATTTTCAGTGGCAGTAATTCTGTTATTCAAGCTATATAGGCCTTCAGTTTTGCATATGATCAGATTATATGAGGACATATAGAGGAGTCAGAATAAGAATAATGAAAAACAATTGTAGTGGGAAAATGTCACCATTTGTGGTAGCTTCTTTTGTGTTGTTAAAAATACAGTGGGGTCAGGCCCTCCACTTTAAGGGACCTAGATTATTTTACTTTGCTTACATTCTTGAGGTTTACACTGAATTCCAATATCCACATGTATATGTACACACAGGTAGGAGTGTAAGAGAGAAAACACAAACTCTGCACACTATATAACCCACTGTTAGTTAAGCTAGATTTTAGTTGATGTTAAAGACAATTTAGAATTCAAATTAAATATGAATAATACCAGTTCATAAAGTTCTAGATTAATAGGCATAGTAATCTATGTTTGAGTTCCAAATACATTAACTTTTCCAGTAATAGACAATGTCATAAGCCATTTACCTTTTTTCAAGGCATCAGTTACTCTGATTTTGTTTGTGAATCCCATCAATAAACAAATTTGGGAATCCTTACTCCTATCAATAAACAAATTTGGGGATTTTCATTCTCAAAATACATGTATTCATCTATTGTTGTTTGCTTGATCTATATTATTAACATCTCAATCCTGAAGTTTCTCTTAAGAAATCTATTTAAATTACTTGGTCTATTTTTGTGGGGGTTAGTTTAGTTAAACCTGGGTAACATAATCTACAAAATCCAATTACTGCACACTACTAAATTCTAATACATTACAATGTTCCATAAGCAAACAAGGTAGAGTGGGAGCCACTGTCAGCCACTCATGGAAGACTTCCTCTTTGTTTCAGGATCCATCACATTCTATTTATGAGTCATCCGAGACAATAAAATAACTAGTGTCAATGTATAAGATTTGTATAACCAACACAGCAGTCAAGACACAAATATTAGTTAAGCATAATTTTCTTTTTTTGAAAAATGAATATAAGTATAAATTCTAATGATTTCTCCTCATACCCCAGCACCCCAATAGATACTCTGATATCCAAATTTGGAACCCATTAGGAATTCTACAACCTCCTTCAGGAGGACTGCTAATTCCTGAGAGAAATCATAAACTATAGTGAGCGCTCTTCTACCTCTGTTTCTATTACCAGAAACCTCCATATAACCCTGTACCACAGAGAGATCTCATTATTCCTTTGAACTATGCAGTTTTCAGAAAATTTACATTTTACAGATTAAAAGATTCAGTTACTCAGAGGTATAAGGGCCAATGTCTACCAGAGGAAGTACTTTCAACATTAATGTTTTGTGTTTCTCTTGGTTTCCTGTATTAGGGTGGAATTTATCCTGAAGCATCCACCCCCAACCTTGCAAAAGATCATTGAAAAAATAAAAGTACAATGTAAACACAAAGTGTTTGAGCCACTTCTCTTCCAGATTAATCAATTAACTATAAGCTGATGCATTCACAGAAAAAGCTCTCAAGAACAGTTTTGAGCGCTTAGTAGAAGCATACTTTTTCATATAATTTAGAATAATGTGCCCAGTGGTGTGGTGCCTGATGATTCATTGTTGGATCTTCCCAAATTATCTAGTTTTCCTTTGTATCTTCATTCTCCTGAGAAGTTGCCTTAACTTTTATTTCAGAAAACATTTTTTAAGAGAATTCAGATGACAGTCACTTGTATGTACCAAGAAGTAGGAAACATGTTTTAAATATGTCTATATTATATACACTCAAAAATAAACATGATCTTTATCTCCTTCACAAAAATAAAATTCCCAAAGGCTAATTTTTCAAGCTGGAATGCAAATAAATTAGTTATTTGATAAAAAGTATGGTTAGTAAATAAATATAATATGGTCATAATTCTAATGATGCAATGATTATTATAATAAAGTATGGTTTTTATATTAATAGGAAAATTAAAATATAAATTTTGAGTGTGTGGTTTGGTATGTAGTAGAAACAAATTTGTGTGTGTGTGCATACATGGGAACATGTTTACACACACAAGTTACTTGATATAAGCCAAAGAACCGGGGAATGGATGTAAATAAAAGTATATATGTGTCTGAATATAATACAGAAAAAAATAATTGGAAACTGTGTCAAATGAAGAAAGAAGAGCCAATACCATTTAGTTACATTACTAATATGGACCAAAAGGATATAGAACTATAAAGTAACCATTATTTTCTCTAAAAATTAAGGAAGAGATCAATCAGGATGTTAAATAATGTTTAAATTGATATTATGTAATGAAAAAATAAGCATATGTTTTGACCTTAGTTTATAATATATATCCTCATGGAATGTTTAATTTTCTAAGTGGAAATACAGTGAAATTTGGCCACTGATTTTGGTTTTGTTTCTTTCCATATGTATGAAGAAAACTGAATATCCTAATGTTGCTTGGCCACTGAGATTTCGCATCCTATACGAAATTGCACTGGGTGTAAATTACCTCCACAATATGAATCCACCTCTACTTCATCATGACTTAAAGACACAGAATATCTTACTGGATGATGAATTTCATGTCAAGGTAATTTTTTTAAAAGTTTTTGTGCATTCTTGTGTTCTATAATTTTAAAGACCATTTTACTTATCCTACCTAGACAGTTTAGTATCTCTCCCTTTACCATGGCCTGTAATTCTTATCTTCAGAGCCCCCTTTTCCTGCTGCAGTGGCTTAGTTATTCTTAAGACTACAGAGATAGTACCATAATTATGATATGAAATACAAACTCATTATGGTCTTAATTGAAATTGTCAAGTATACTTTTTTTTTAATCTTTTATTTTGAAATAATTATAGATTCACAGGAAGTTACAAGGAAAATACAGAGTTACTATACAAATATTTATTGAATAAAGGAATGACCAACTCATTTCCTTTTTTTGACAGTAGTAGTACTGGCAAAGAGTAAATGTTAAAATAGTTTGTATATTATAAAACATTATGAAATAGTTTAATAATAACATACTTGACTCTTAAATTATCAGGACCATCTGGTATATATATATATATATATATATAATATCTGGAATTCATCCATATGTTCATTCAACAAATACTTAATATGGCTTGTGTTGAACAGATGGCAGTTAATGAAATGAACTAAACTTTAGTCTTCATGGAGCTTATATTCTTATTGGGGGAGATGGTCAATCAACACATTAATAAAAAAATGTTACATCAGATAGTAAATACTGTAGAGAAGCATAAAATAAAGTATAAGGACACAGAGGAACTGGGTCGTTGGTCAGGGAAGCCATTCTGATGAGGCTGAAGAAGGTGAGGGAGTAGATCATGAGGATACCTGCACTTTCCTAATATTTTTATGGACAAAATGGAGAAATATAGGCTGTGTAACAGCTCTTTTAGGAGTATTCCAAACAAAATGAATGATTATTTCCCAAAAATGCTGATTAATAAAAGGATTGATATTGACCAGTGCCATTTTGTGCATGTTGTGCAACTCTGATCTGAGATCTATACTGGTTAGCATTTAATCATGACTTGAAGATACAAAAAGCTAGCTAATAAATTTGAGGATGACACAAAGCTGTGAGACAAAGTTAAAACCCTCGGACTACAGAAATAACATTCAAAAAGGTCTTAAGAGGCTGAAGTGATCACTTAAATCTAACAAGATAAAACTTGATGATGGCCAGAAAGTATTCTGTAAAGCACATGATAAATAGATATGGTTTAAGTTAATAGTTCATGAGAAAAGAAGTTGTAAGAGCTTTTTGCTGACACTGAATCCCACTTGAATGTTGTGATATGACTTACTGCCAAAAGCTGCTGATGAATTATTAAGGAACTGGTAAGTACAGTACTTAGGAAGTGACACCTCTATTCAAGTCTACAAGCATTAGATCACATCAAGAGTATTTTGTTCAGTTCTGAGGATCATAATTTAAGAAGGATATACACACAGATGCATCTAGATAACACCTGAGATTGAAACCTGTGTCATGAGGAAATTGTTTAAAAGAACTAAAGATGTTTAGAAGGAAGAACAACAGAACAGAAGTATATGTGAGGGGCGGGTGATTATAGCTATCTTAAAATAGCAGAAGGGTTGTCATGTGGAAGTAGAATTGGACTTATTCCATTTATCATAAAAAACAGAACCAGGACCAATGAGTGGAAGCAATAGGGAAGGAGTTTTGACTGAGCATGTAAGAAAATGTCACAGTCATTGAAGTTTGGATGTTAAGACTTCCCTGTCATAGGATAACTGCCTTGAGACCTGAAAGGTTGTTATAGTAATGATTCAGGAAACTAGCTGACTATTTATAATAATTGCACTTCTACCTGTATAGTTCCATAATTGATACAATAGATTAATTTCTTTTTTTTACTAATACTGAGGCAACCCCTTTCTTCCCTTTCCATTTTCCCCTCCCATTTTATTCTAGGGAGAGGAAGTACTTTCAATAAAGGTTTATTTTTTCACTTCATTTTCTCACATTTTCTTGTATTAATTTTTCTATTGTTCCAACTTCCCTATTACTCATTTATTTGAAAATTTCTAATATTTATAATAATCTTCAATTATGTATATTACTATAAGAGGTATAGCAAAATAATTTATAAAAATAAAGTGAGTTATATTAAGTATTACTCAGCCACCATTTTTTATTTGCTGTCCTAAGTTAGATATAGGGTAACTGAAATTACCACTACATCTGGTACCTTTAGGTACTTAATTCTTATACTTCATACAGAAATTAATTCAAAATAAGTCATAGATTTAAATGTAAAACATAAAACTAAGACTTTAAGAAGGTGTCATAGAAGAGTACTTAGACATGAGAGAGACATGATCATAAAAGAAAAAGTTCTAAGTTGTACATCATCAAAATTAAAATTTTTCTCTGAAAGATCCTATTAAAAGGGTGAAAAAAAAGAACTATAGACTGGGAGGAAAATATCTACAAACTATATATCTGATGGACTTGTATCATATAGAACTCTCAAAACCCAATACTTAAAAAAACAATCCATCAGAAAGTGGGCTTAACATGTGAAGAGACATTTCATTGAAAAGATTATATAGACAGCAAATAAACATGAGAAGATGTTCGACAACATTAGCCATTTGAAAAATGCAAATTAAGACCATGATGAGATATCACTATATACATTTTAGAGTGCTAAAATAAAAAACTGTGGTACCAAATGCTGATGAAGATGAGGAAAAGCTGTGTCTCGCATACATTGCTGATGGAATGTATAAGGAATCACTGCTCTGGATAGTTGGATTGTTTCTTAAAAAGCTAGACATATCCTTATCAAATGACCTAGCAGTTGCTGCCCTTGGGCATTTATTCCAGAGGAATACAAATTTGTGTTCATTCAAAAATTATACAGGATTTTTTATAGGGGCTTTACTTTAAGTGCTAAAGACTGGATATAACCAAAATATCCATCAGTAAGTGAATGGTTAAACAACTTTGGTATACCCGTACCATGGAATACTATTCACCAATTAAAAAGAACCAACTATTGAAACAAGCAACAACTTGGATGGATCTCAAAGGCATTTATGCTATGTGAACAAAGCCAGTCTCAAAATCACATACTCTATGATTTCCTTTGTGTACCATTTTCAAAACTAACAAAATTACAGAAATGGAAACAGGTTACTGGTTGTCGATAGTTAGAGATGGTGGAGAGGAGGAGGGGAGGGTGACCATAAAGGGGCAGCATGAACTATATCTTTGTGGTGATAGAATATTGCTGTATCTTCACTATTGTGGTAGTAACATGTGGTAAAGTGACACAGAACTACGTATGTGTATTGTACCAAAGTCAAATTTCTGGTCTTAAAATTGTACTATTATGTGTGAGGTAACCATTGGCAGAAACTGGGTGAATGGTACATGGGGTACATTGGAGTATATCACATGAGATCTGAAATTGATCACTGGTCTGATATAATTTGCTTTTTATGAATTCTTGATGGTTCTTTCTTTAATTACTCATATAAAGTATCCCTTACATTAAATTTTCTAAATATTTTTAAAGCAGGATTAAGGAGTCTCCACCAGTATATAGATTTGAAAAATCAACTTTTTTTTTCCTTTTTAAAAATCAGAATGATATTTACTTTTCTCATATCCTATAAAACCTCTCCATTCTGTCCCACAAATAGCATCATGGCAGTATTTTCAAATATAGTTAAACCTTGAACAATGCAGGGGCTCAGGGCGCTAATACCCTCCCTACACAGTCAGAAATCCACATAAAACTTTTGACTTCCCTAAAAGTTAATTTCTAATAGCCTACTGTTGATTTTATGGTAATAAATGATAAAATAGACTGCTGTCTACATGTATTTTATGCATTAATGACATACCTAACTTTTCCTTGATTTTTTTGATATTTCTAGTCTATACAGTTTATCTGCAAGTTTTTTCAAATTGTCGTAAATCTCCAAAAATTTTCTGGTATATTTATTGAAAAAAAGTCTGCATGTAAATGGACCCTTACTTGCAGTTCAAACCTGTATTGTTCAAAGGTCAACTATATTCTCAATAACTTAGTATATATAAAATAACCTCAGATTCACACATTTTTAATACAATTTGTTTTATTAAGGTATTATTGATATACACTCTTAAGAAGGTTTCACATGAAAAACAATGTGGTTACTACATTCACCCATAGTATCAAGTCCCCCCCCATACCCCATTGCAGTCACTGTCCATCAATGTAGTAAGATGCCATAGAGTCACTACCTGTCTTCTTTGTGGTGCACTGTTTTTCCCATGATCCCCCCCACACCATGTGTACTAATCATAATATTCTTCATTCCCCTTCTCCCTCTTCCCCACCCATGCTCCCCCACCCCTCCTACCCTTTGGTAACAGCTAGTCCCTTCTTGGAGTCTGAGTCTGCTGCTGTTTTGTTCGTTCAGTTATGCTTTGTTGTTATATTCCAAAAATGAGGGAAATCATTTGGTACTTGTCTTTCTCTGCCTGGCTTATTTCACTAAGCGTAATACCCTCCAGCTTCTTCCATGTTGTTGCAAATGGTAGGATTTATTTCTTTCTTTTGACTGAATAGTATTCCATTGTGTATATGTACCACATCTTCTTTCAGATTCATACTTTATAAGCCTTTCAAACCTACCTGGATTTTATTTTCTTTATTTCAGTCCAGAAACTTCTTGATAGAGAAAACAGAAGCAAAGTAGTAGGTAATGATCCCTACTTTTTCTTTTTTGTTGGTCAGTAGAGTACCTTTGGTCTTTCTTTGATATGAATAGAATTTAAAATAGTTTTGCTCTGTGTATTTTTATAATTTCTATTAATTTTAACACATACAGATCTGTGACCTTTCTAATAGCATTCTTATACAATGGCAACACTTATATACATCCTATATGTCTTCTACTTTTTACTTTATAAATGTCCCTTTAAAGTCAAAACTCATCAGTGACTCATGAAAAATATCAATTAGTTAATTTACCTATTTCTTTGGAAAGGCCTTTAAATGAAGTGCAAAAAAAAATACTTCTAATACTTA